GGGCCCACCACTGTTCCCTGTGGAATGCCCGACCTGACTATTCTGCATGAGGATGAGTGGTTAACTACCTTTTTAGTTATAGGACATATCTTAGTTATTTGGGTTATTTGAGTTCTATTGCTTAAATAAGATCTAATCAAATCATGCATATTTCCCCTCACTCCATAGGCGTATAACTTGTCCAACAATATGCTGTGATCTACATAATCAAAAGCTTTTGTGAGATCCATAAATAACGCACACGCCTGTTTACCTTTATCCATGTCAGTTAATATAGTATAAAGAAAATTGAAAACCGCCATGTCAATCGTTTTGTTTTTTCGGAACCCCACTTGTTCATCACAAAACAATTTCTTAGACTCAAAGTAATTATAGATACTGTCGTGGATTACCTTCTCAAAAATCTTTGATATGACTGGTACAAGCGCTATTGGACGGTAGCAGCTCACGTCACATCTATCTTTTTTCTTAAACAGTGGTTTTACTATCGTTAACTTAAGTTTTTCTGGAAATATACCGGTTGTAATGCTTAGATTTATTATATGACTTAGTATATATGAAAGTTTTACGGCCACTTGTTTTATAATTTTGGTTGACACACCATCATAGCCAATCTTTAAAATTATTAAAGACTTAAAAAACACAAACAGCACAACAACAGTATATTCTTGTATTTTCTAAAAATCTTTTCATTTTTCTTCCTTGCGTCTTTTTACTCTTATTCTTAATTCTTTCTATCAGTTACCATGGCTTTTCTCATACAACTTAGCAGGTCCCTAACAAGGTAACTATGAAACAGTCTCACCCCTTTTATCCAAGAAAAACAAACACAATATCACACATAATACAAACATATTTATAATTAACCCAATAAGCAGCATTGTCCCTACAAATCTATGGGAATGTCAAGTCGACCTTTAGCGCCAAGTACCATCGTCGCCGGCGATAGGCGCTCCATAATACGAACAACGCCATCTTTCACAGACCTCTCCGATAGATGGCGTTGTGAACAATTTCCTTTAGTATGGAGAGCTCAACTTATATTAGTTTGAAACACAATACGTGTCATCACTCGCTATCTACTTCCTTGTGTAGTTGTGAAGTAAGCAGGACTGTAGGACAGTTTTGGTGTTATTCTTTAGTTTGTTTCTGGACTTGATGTAATGAAATAATTGTTATTAAGTTTACAATTTTGTAACATCACCTGTACCTAAATAGTCGTGAGTCCTACATTTTGGTCATTTAAATATAATTTAGACTAGTTATAACAAGGTGTGGGCCTTGTAGAGTAGTTAAATAGGCCTTAATCTTCAAAATATTAACCTTATTTAATATTTAATAGCTTTATAAGAACACTCTTTAAGTTCTTCAGAGAATAACATTCCTGAACAGAAAACCTACAAAACGCAATCTAATTGTACCAACTATGCCAGACAGCTACAACAAATAACTCATCAAATCAAACAAACTGACTTAACTCTTTACTTATCATCATCATGAACACAGTCTATAAACGCCCACTGCTGAGCAAAGCCTCTTCTCACACGAAGAAGGTTTGATCATTAATCACAACGCTTGCTCATTACGGGTTGGCGATTTCAAACTTATAATTAGAATAATAAGCCCTTTCCTCACGATGTTTTCCTTCACCGTTTGTCAGTGGTGTCTGAATAATCTTAGAAAGTACATATAACTCGGAAAATGTCTCAAGTCGCATGCATGCGAAGCGGACGTCTTAAACCTCCGGGCCACCACGTCTCTTCACTTAACTAAAGACATAACCTCAAAAAATGATATTTAAACCACTAATTAATACTATAAAACAAAGTATTAATTTTAGGGAACAGAGAGTATAGTTCCCTAAGATTGGAAAAGGAGGATCCTCCGACCAGGCGAGGTGATCGTGCCTGGCGGGCTTTCTGCCCAACAGTTGATCGTTGGGATTTTCTATCCGTGTTTATTCGCTTGTAAACTTTGCATGTGCGATGTAGGATTTTTGTGACGTCATCCGTTGACATGTGGCATGCGTCGCCACATCACTCCCTCCTAAGACCGGAGGTCGATCCCGCTGAGACGGCTGTCGATGCTTGAAATGCCAGTACCAGTGTAGAAGGTCCCTAGTTCCAGTGAGTCGGAACTGTGCCGCTGAGTGCCCAGTGAGTCGGGTGAGCGGTGCAGGGTTAAACTCCAGTGAGTCGGAGAGATGAGCTCGCAGTGTCCCACGGTGAGTCGGGGAAGAGATGCTGCGAGGGTAGGTGCGTAGTGGCCGGCGTCTGCGTTGACGGGAGGAGATGTCCTTCAGACCGTGTGCAGAAGTGCTGTGCCTAGACGCTGGTGAGGCCGTAGGGAAGAACCAGGCTGCACAACTTCGTTGCAGGTAATGGTGGTCCCTGATGAGGCCGAGGATGCTGGTTGGCTGCGACTTGGTTACCGCTCAGCGGAGAAGTGATGAATGAGAGGGATGGCGATACGGATGACGGTGCTAATCTGCTCCGTGAAGTGAAGGTTGCTTCCAATCACGTCGGGGTCACCACTTTAGGGAACAGAGAGTATAGTTCCCTAAGATTGGAAAAGGAGGATCCTCCGACCAGGCGAGGTGATCGTGCCTGGCGGGCTTTCTGCCCAACAGTTGATCGTTGGGATTTTCTATCCGTGTTTATTCGCTTGTAAACTTTGCATGTGCGATGTAGGATTTTTGTGACGTCATCCGTTGACATGTGGCATGCGTCGCCACATAATAACTAACCTGAGTTCATTTACCGCCCTGTAATTATAAAGCCACTTGCCTTAGGGTATAGTTAGTCTCGTCCAGGAATAAACAACCATTGGCCCACGTATAATTGATCGCACGCAGTGACGCAACATAATGTTTTGGAAACCTCACAGAGTCATAGACACACAATTTATCTGTGAGTGACTTTTTTCTAAGGATAGAAAATCTTCAAATGAATGACATTGAGAGAGTGTAAGATTTTGACTGACTAAAAACCATCGCTGTGCCAATTCCTACCCTACATAGCGACGTTTAACGCGCCAATCTACCTATATTTCTTTTTTTTGTGTTTTTTTTTTTAAACTTAGGTCCACACTAGGATTTTCTCCTGTGTCGTGGGTGCGTTTACTCTGTGGATCACGCAGAGTTGTTCCGAGCGGGAATCGAACCCGGGACACGTTGCGCGGCAGCCAGTTGCTCAGCCACCGCGCTAACCGTGCAGACGCATAAATCGCACGTTTCAGTCATGAATAAAGATAATCATTAAACACACGATTAAGAAAAATCAAATAACTTTATTCATTTATGACCTCATATTTCTTTAAAACATGATCCGAACACGTTATGCGAAAAGGTTTATCATCCCTGGTCTGGTCTATTTAGTAAGTACATACCATGCGTGTCACTCGTCAATTTGAAATTAATCATTAGTATAATTGTTTACAAAATTTATTTGAATAATTTATCGTACACAAATGACAGGTTATTCTATTAAAGTTCTTTCTATTCAATTAAAATTATTGGTATTAACTTTAAAGGTTTTGTACTTCCGATGTCGGTATTTTTAGTTTAGTAAATGCCTTCTTATGTTTTATTTCGGTTTGGTATTGTCTCTCTTCCTTTATGAACTGTTATCAAGTTTTATTTCATAAAAGCTCGGCTCAGTTCTACTCCAGGGGTTTTATTTAAAACAGTATATGTGATCAAACTATATTAATAGCTACGTAAACCATTTTTTTTGAGATGTAGAATCATCCAATGACTTCTCCCGCCTGGGTGAGGCGGGAGGGAGTGTCAGACTGTTACTGACTAAAAACCACCCCGTTCCTACTCCTGCATTTCGATTCGGAGCCCCGACAACCCGTTAGGTACTCCGCGGCTCCGAATTGGCATCAGCCGTATTCAGCCCTATCTGTGGTGGTCTGATGGGTCCTTGAAGCGCGCGCGTAACGTGACGCGCCGTACGCTCGGGTCTGGTTCTGGTCGAAGCTACGTAAACTAAATATAAAGTAACAATTTTAGTAACAAAAACACCATCATTATCAATAACCCGTATAATCGACTCTGCTGGGTATGAGCATTCTGTACAAAGGAGAGGTTCACCAAAATCCTCATGCTTGATAAACGGGTTGGGGATCATAGCTGGTCTTTGTCAAATGTACAGTCCCCTAGTCGATTCCTACGACACGACACTCGCGGGACGAGCAGGGATGATGTATAAATGCGTACTGAAAAAATGAAGGTTCAACTTTTATTATTATTCATTATTTTAAATAACGTTTGCCTTCCGTAGGATTTTATCCTGTGTCGATGGTGCATTATTAACATTAAATTATTCTTATTACTAGAACATAAACCGGTACATACGTGCCTATATATTTATAGAAACGTACGTTATATTTGACCATTTTCCATGTCACGATATATTTTAGTATTTAAGCAGCCTTCTAATGGATCTAGATTTTAAATTGTAGCTATTAATAGGTTTAGGTGGACGTTTTACTAATTTGTTAAGAGCTTTTAACGTTATTTTTTTTATATTTATAAGGTTAACAACTGTGATTATTATTCTCCTTGGTGTTGATTTCGTAGAGGGGATAGGCAGATGTGCAGATATTATTATGAAGTGTTACATAGACACTTTTTCGTCTGATTTGTGAGTCCCATTGCCATAAATCTGACACCATGTCATCGCTGAGGATTCCGAAAGACCTAGGAATCACATCTAAGTCCAGTCCATTAATAATAACATTTGCAACAACTGTAAATGCCACTTTGTGCCATTTTATAAAAACATGACAATAAAAAATAAATCTGCCCTCTGAAATCAAAACTGAGTTATATAGGAATTGAACTTTCGACTGTCCATAACGACTGTCATACAGGGTTGTACACTGAAAACCCACAGAAGCTAAAAATGGTCACCCATCCAAAGACCAACCTCGACTACTGTGCCTTAACCTATCATATAATAATGTTATATTAAATATGTATTGTTATTTCACAGGTATGTTTCGTGGCATGATTGACCGCCGTGTTATTGCAGGTAAATAGTTATATTAAGTTATAATAATATGTTGTTATTTTGTATGTGTGTATATATCTAAGACCTATATCTAGAAGTAGTGATAATATCGTAAGTACTAAAATATTCGCACAGTCTAGTCAATCAAGTTTCGTATGCAGATAGGAAAATAAGGATTGATTGTGTAGCATCCTAGCTAAGTATTGTGCGAACTCATGTTTTATATAGGTTAGGGGTGGCCAACTTGATTAGCCATACGATGAAAAACACTATGTTAAATAATTTAATTGTCTCGTCAGCTGTAGCTTATTATATGGACCTTGTAGAATCTAGAACAAATTTCCATGCGTTTAGACGGTTTTTCCATACCTGTTATTCGAAGCAAGTACCTATAACAGCTCTCACATAGGACCCACTTAGTTTTTAGTCAAATTTCCGTGGTGCTTGGCGACTGGGCTTCACCCAGTTGTACAGTCACTTTTTTGTGCCTTTAGGCTTAATTCATTCCGTTTCCGGGAAGTTTTTTTTCTTCTCCTCTTATAATATCTTCTAATTCACTTCGTTGCGGGAACCAAGACAGTTACTCATGTCCCTGGGACGCGCGCCGGACTTCAGTGATCCGGTGTTTTCATGGTTGTATCTATCTACTGAAGATCCTGGCTTCTGTAAGCCAGGATCTTCAGTCCTCCTGTGAGTAGCAGCGGTTTTGGAAGGATTTCGCGGGCTTTTCTCTTAAAAAAATAGCCATAAGATACCTTAAAGAATCAGAATTATTAAGTGTGGGAGGGCCATGCTTCGGCACGAATGGGCCGGCTCGACCGGAGTGATACCACGGCCTCACAGAAACCTGTGTGTTAGAAGAAAAGTGAGGTTACCGGAGACCCAATTACCATTAGTACCGTCTTCCCCTCCACAGTCTTCCCAATCCCCGAATCCTCCACAATCCACAAATTCCCAATTTCCAAAAGGCCGGTAACGCACTTGTATTGTAACGCCTTGATGTTTCAGATGTCCATGGGCGGCGCCGATCGCTTACCATCAGGTGATCCGTCTGCTCGTTTATCGGCTTATGCCAGAAAAAAAACAATGTATGAGCTTTTGTCAAGTCAATCGACTGGACTGATGGTCGCGATCGACCATTTGGCAACCCCCGGTTTAGATTAATTTTATTTATCTAAGTAACACTCTTATAAAATGCCACTACTTAATCTCAGGCTACAGTACCCTAAACATAATGAGCCAAAAAATCCATTGCATTCCATTAATCAAATCTAGACAATGTTCTACACATACCTACAACATTAGCAACAAATAAAATCAAATAAACATTACGTTAAAAATACTCCAGACAGACTTAATGTACACAGAAAACTGGATTTTGATCTGAAAATATTATATTTTTTATAACAACTTGCGACGTCTGCTCGTCAATGATGTCAGCTGTCAACAAATCATAATTTCTTTCTACGAATAATAAACTTTATATCACGCTTATTACATGAAGGTGTAGGCAGAATGCACGTAGATACACCCACAGTTCATCAAACTAAAATTACAAATGTGAGTTTATTTGTTTGTCCGTTAATCACGCTAAAACTAATGAACGGATTTAGATGAAATTTTGTATACACGCAGGGTATGAGTTGACTTAGGTGATAAGATCCTTTTTTATTCCGATTAAATGCTTCCATTGAATAAAAGAGGAATCATATTCTACGCGGACGAAGGCAACAGCTAGTTCGCTATAAATCCGTCTGTAATTAAAGATGAGTTCATAAGAAGATACTGAGCACAATTTGTTCCTGGTTGTGTATCTATACACAGATGAATAAAATTGAAATGTCTGTTTGTAATATTAAAATAACCGCTTTTTACTACATGCATATGATGAATATATATATGATACACATACCAAAATAACATTTTTTACAATTTTTGTCTGTTTGTACTGGCGAATCTCTAAAGTGAACATCAAGAAAAAACGCAATCATTTCAACTAAAAATGCAATCATTATCTCGTTTTGAAATAAAATTTCTTATGAAATATCCAATATTGTACATGACTCTATAAAAAATGACGTGTTGTATTTCCCTCATTGTATTTTCAATTTCTCATACATGACTAATATTTCTTTTTCTTATGCACATTATTGACATATAAATAAATGTATTCCAAATGGCTTTCAGATCAAAGATCACACAAATTCCTGTCTTCTCATGTTCAAAATATATAAATATTTATTCGACCTAATTATCAAACGTTCATAAATACACGTGTATGAACAAACAGATTGTTGTTAGATCTATTCATATAATCATAATGAGAATCGTACTGTACAATGAAAATGTACGGTAACCTACATTCGCTAGAATTCGACAAAATTAGCTTTTATTTCTATCATTATACGACCTATATAGCATAGCTGCTTATGTCCTATCTGCGATTCCAAAAGCAACTAACTAACAATAACAGTTAATAAAAAAGACGCCATGACACCTAACCTATAAAATAAATTCACGTCTAAATTATCACCAAAACAGCTGTTAATAGAAGAAAGGAATCAATCTAAATGCCAAAAAAACGACCAATATCCGCGTGTTGAAAAATTCAACAATTATTAATAAAAATACTTGATAAAATTCGCTTGTATAGGCAATTAAACCACATGGAAAGTGTCGCTTGGTCTATTTCTGTGCGCGTGAGCTGGCGCGCAGCCAGATCGCATGGCTATCGAGCAACAACAGCGCAGACGAGCTGCTTACGTTGTCAAGGAACTTAAGACGTTTACTGACAAAATATACGCTAAATATCTCCTTTAAACTATAATTATAGAGATCATTGATAGTGATAAAATATTATTGATATATGCACGTGTTTGGTTAGCGGTCGAATGGCATAGATCTGCTTAATTTGGTTCTCTTTTGTGCTCTGAATTCTTTAGATCCACTCTAGTTAAGTAAGTTTCTTATCTATCTTTTATCGTTGGAATCTTCACTTTAAATTGAGGGTCTAGATAGCACAACAGTAGGTTGCATTTCAGAGAAATGATACTACATAATACATATTTAGAAATTTCTCTGTAAAATCCAGACTTTCTCTCATAGGTTGTTACTAATAGTTGACTAACTCATTAGCTCATTACATAGTACTAGGTCATTGACCTATATGATTACCTTCGAGAGAACATAATCAATAAAACATACAATAATTAGAACAAGCATTAAATTATGACCAGCTACCAAACCGTTCCCATGGGTGATCACTCACAGCCAATCAGAATCGAAAATCATTGCATCGAGATAATTTTTTGACATAACTTAAGTGGACTTTTTATCAAAAACTCAGACCGATGCAGAGATTTTGGTTTAAGATAGTATTAGGATGCAAGATTTTCAATTAGCAGATGACCCCCGTTACCAGTAAAGAAAGATGTCCCATAGTAACAAGGAGCTTGTATTATTATCAAAAACAACGCTATTCTTCCCGGGTCCGACAAAGTATTATTGGGTTTTTAAAAAAGAAATCTCAGTAGTAGCACGACGTCTAGAAATGTGCCCGGTATATGGCAATAGGCTCACCCCCTATTACATGGGACTAATAACATAAATATTCAAAAGTGGGTGTTACTTCTGTGTGCACCTCTGCCTACCCTTTCGGGGATAAAAGGCGTGATGTTATGTTATGTTATAACGCTATTTTTGAACATAATAGGTAGATACATAGACGGAATATACTTAAGTGCTAGACAATAAATCAGACAAAAATAACACTGATTCCCAATCAAAGCATGGTATTACGTGTGATATCGTAACAACACCCACACAATAACAGACACATCAGCTGTCCCTTCTAAAATAATTACAACCGTCCAAAATTGGCAGATATTCACGGACAGAAGCGTAACAATTTACAGGGTGTCCCGCAAACCTCTTTTCTCGGAAAGTGTGAGGTTCCTACTTCACTCAAAACCAATCAGACAACAATTGAAACTCTTTTTTTCGGTTGGTAACCTTTCCAATGCAGCTATTGAAGAGTAGAATGAAAGACCAGAAAGTGTGGGGTTCTTTATTCAAAACCATCACTGTAGTCACCATTTTTTTTAACCTTTCGTGTGTCGAATGTCGTGGTGGCCCGGAGGTTTAAGACGCTCACTTCTCATGCATGAGGGTGCGGGTTCGAAACCTACCAACGGCAAGTACCAATGTGACTTTTTCCGAGTTATATGTACTTTTTAAGATTATTTAGACACCACTGACAAACGGTGGAGGAAAACATCGTGAGGAAACCTGGACTTATAATTTCTAATTATAAGTTTGAAATCGCCAACCCGCATTGAGCAAGCGTGGTGATTAATGTTCTAACCTTCTCCGTGTGAGAAGAGGCTTTGCTCAGCAGTGGGCATTTATAGGCTGTTGATGATGATGATGATGATGGTGTCGAAGACGTGGATCCACGCGAGACACAATGTATTTTCTATTGTGTCTCATATCGGTGCATTCAAAAGGGTAAGGGGGGAATGTCATGCAATGGCTTCTCCCGCCTGGGTGAGGCGGGAGGGAGTGTCAGACTCTTACTGACTAAAAACCAACCCCGTTCCTACTTCTGCACTGATTGCGCGGCTCACTGTGGTCACCATGCATAAGGGGCACCGTAGCTTTTGAATATGCCTATTTGTGAAAGCCCCTCAATTATGCAGTTTTCCAGTTCCGGTATTCAGTACATCCTGAAAGTTTGTGATAAGTTTCAACTATATTGATTTCTTTAGGATACAACATATAGTCCGGTCAATTTAGACATTCGAAGTTACATAAAGTCCCAACAAGCTGAATTTCTATGAAGTTGTTCAAAACATAATTACAAACAATGTCTAGAAGTTCCCCATCATTCCCCTGTAAGGAAAAAAATTAATTCAAGGTCAAAGGTCAAAAAAATTAGTTTTTCTCGATTTTCAGCAAAACGGTAAGTTTTATCATAAAAGTACCACAGACAAAAATTGTAGATCATAAAGTTATCTATAAAA